CCTGCTAAATATTACGATCACAAAGATGATTATGATAAGAAGGAAAAGCATTATAGACGCTCAAAACGTTCTCCTGTACCGACCTAAGATGGTAAAAAGAAAGACTACTATTAATCAAGGCGTTAAAACTTTTAATCCTTATTATTAATCCTTGGGTTCCTGCTCATTATTACGATCATGATCATAAGTCACAGTACGAGTATTAATTTAGATTTTGGAAGCATTGGTTAAACGTTTATTAAATGAATAAATTTAAGATTGAGATTCTTTTTAAAGAAAATTAATTGTTTTGACATTTTAAAAAAACTTTTGTTTAATTAATAAATTTTGAAATTTCTTGTTTACAATAAATGTTGCGAATAGAAATTACGTCAAATTTCTATATTTTTTAATGTGTTAAAAACGAAGTAAAAATAACGCAGTTCTGTTTCTAGAACAAAAACGTATGACAAATTTTATTTTATAAAATATATCATTGCGAGATTCTTTAAACTTTAATTTGATAAAGAACTTTAAGATAAATTTTTTAAACCGACCATTTTAGTTTATCAAAATTGTAAATTATTAATTTTTTCCCCGGTTGCTTGTTTCTAAATAAGCCAAAAGCGCTAAGTTGATTTTGTTGGTCGCTTGCTTGTTTGTCACAAGGCATGTGGGCGGAAACTTTCGGATTATAAATCCAGGCTTGGCGATATTCATTAAGCATACGACTTTACATAAAATCTTTTCAAATAATACAATTACAGAAAGCTTGGAAAAGCTCGGGTATCATACAAATTTTAAAAAGAAAAATTAAATTTTCACCCAAAATCGTAGATAAATAAATTCATCAGTCCGTGTTTTAATAAAAAAAATATAATTTGTACAATTTTAAATTATCATATTAATTTATTTGTATCCTTAAACATTTTACTTTTCTTTACCTTTGAATAATGGTGCATATACGGTCGGGATCATATTTGATTTTGATAGCAAACGTCCTTTATGCGCACATTATAAGTTGAGCTAAGTTTTTATGTTTCGGTGACTCGATTTTAATTTGAATATCACTAAATCTATATTAGTAAGATTTTTCGGCAATTACTTCCCTTGGATTACATGATTACATGATTGTATTAAGACGGCATTATTTCGCTAGGGAAATTTTTCTTTGTCAATTTTTAGTTAGATTTTGTAGATCAAAAATTGTTCTTTTTTATTTATTCACTACGATTTCATTTCCCCGATATTTTTTTTTTCTTTTGTTAGCTTTAATTAATTAATTAGCATTTAGTATTTAATTAACAGAATTACGGCCTGTCATTGAGGCAACACTTGATTAATTGATTTATAAATATATTATACATTCCATTAGTTCAATACGCATCATCCTATAACAATTATTTAACAAATATTTTCACTTATTTAATGACTATTGTATAAAAAATTTTATTTTTTCAACAGAATCTTTTAATCAACTTTGTAATGTATATTTTGTAACCAGTACAAAACAATTAAATTGGGATCAAATCCGATAATTGATTTAGCTATTTCAACACGAAAATTTTCATTTGGATTTAAGTTCCTCAGAACTTTATTTGAAGATGTCACTGTAGTGTCAGCTTGGATCACATACAACCATAGAGGAAGTATATTCCAAATAAAAATGTGGTAAGTTTCCTAATTCACCAGAAAGTTTATTTAATTAACAAGAATTCCTAAATTGAATCTAACTTTTCAACATTTTCTTCTCACATATTTGTCATTATTTATTCTTCTTTCCTTACTTCACCGGCAATTAAGCATCTCCTGATCGGGAGAATACATCTGCTGTAGGTGCACTAGTGCTGCTATTTGAGAACCAATGTCACGAGTTAAAAGTTGGTCAAACATGCCTTGAATTTTTCTTCTATCCTAATAAACTTTCTTTCCTTTGATCCTTGATAATCACTGCTACACTGGCGTATACGTTCTTTCATGTTAGAATTTTCTAATGCCACATCCCTTTGATATCTTGATATTATCTCCAAATCCATAAATTTCACCAACACTTACGGATAATTTGTACCTAGAACACGCTCTTATCATTTATATGAGTAGGTATCTAAATTAATTCAAAACGGTAACCTCTTGAAATTCGATTCTAATTCTCTTACGGTTCTCAACCTCGATTCCGTTCGGTTTTGCAACTGAAATAAACATTGGTTATTGCCAAGTCTCATCGACATGTCATGTGAGCTTACTATATAATGAGGTTATTTTGTAGAAATCAATTTGATTGTCACGTGAAAGTTATGATTTGACAAATTGTTAACTTATCGTCCCTCCCCCAAAATTTTTTCTTTAATCAAAACATTTTTTTTTAAAAAAATTTGTGATACAAATTTGGTAGAGGATCGTTAATTTTTATTTTTTAAGTGTTCTGGAGTAAAGTTACCCTTTTGATGGCTACATGATATTTCTCTTCTTTTGAAAAGGTTATACATATTTTGAATTTTCTATTCTTGTTTTTTTATCAGGTAACTTTTGAAAAGTGTGAAATCAGGAAGAATAACTGATGTGGAAAGCGGAATTAGCAGTCATGTGCGTTTGCAATCTCCAAGAGTTGAAACTTGAAAATTTAGAGCATTATACCATCTGCTCACATTATAAAACTCACACGGACATTTGAATTTGCTTTTTGATATTGTGACAACTATTACCGAAATTTTTTTGATTTATAGGTACTGTTACAATCACTTTAAAATTCAACCGCGTTTTACAAAGACATGAAATTCATGGAATTCGATAGAAATAGAGAAAAAGATCATCTACTTAGATGTTAGTTTTTGCCAGAAGAAGTTCATTGCTTTTATATTATTTTCTCACCTTTTAATTATTGATTACAGGAACGCTCACTCAAAAGAACATAGATCCTATGAATTAAGGTCAGAATATCACCTGCTTTCTCTATCATTCAAACATTCAGGAAATTTATCTGGAGTTGCAGTACGAGCAATAATATAATTAACTACAATGCGGAATGCATCGCATCTTACAATCCAAGCGTCAGACCTTTATCAAAACATGATCTCCAATTAAAATTCTGTGATGGAGCTTTTCTTTCTTGCTAGTTTCACAATAACAAAACAATATACAAGGGACCAGAAATGTAAGTTACGAAAATCCTACGAACCATTCTAACGGTTACTACAATAACTGTCCAGTCAAAAAGTTAAAGAACGTATCAATTCAAATAGTAAATCAATGATCATGTGTTTTATAAGATTTTATCTTTAGATTTATGTCGACATCGTAATTATTCCTTAACACTTCCTCCATAATACGTATATAATACAAATTATTTACTGCTGCAATTAACACAATTCAGCGCTACAAGAGAATGACAGGGTGAGCTGACTTAAAGGCTTTGATTATCTTGAGATCGTGTTGAAAACGAAAATTATTGCGTATTAGAAAATTTATATGAGCAACTAGATATCATATTCGGTAAAACATTCTATCAGACTAATTTCAACTCTGAGAGATTAATTAAAAAATTTAAAACAACACCGAACCATTTAAAAAAGCAATTTAGTGATTTTTCAGTCATTACAACAAAATGAATTAATTTATAAGATCAGAACTTCAAAGATGAATGCACTTTTGAAATAGATTTGATGTGATATATTGCGAATTAAAAGTTCTTTGATTTTATTCATTAAGCTAGATTAATCAATTTTTGGAAGGGAATTGAAGAAAATTTAGAGATAGAATTAAAATTACCGATTTCTTCGGAGAGTAAGATGCATAAAATAATATTAAAGCGATGTAAGAAAAAAATAATATACAAAATTATAATAAAAGCAAAATCAACATTGCTACTTGGAAATTTTCAAACTACTATTAAGAAATATAAAAGATGTTCTAAATATAATATCACATCCTATTACAGTGTTTTATAGAATTCCCGCCAATTATTAATTTGAATAAAAACGAAATCTTCATTAAAAATCGAGAAATCCTCCGTTCAAGTATTCTTAATCCATAACAAGAAATATTGCACCTCGTAAAGAAATCATTTTTGGTTGAGAAGCGAGCTTCATCTTCGGTAGTATTAGATGAATTTGATTCTTCTATGTCTTGAAAGGATGAATAAATGTCATCAATTTCAGTTGTACCTTCATCAGTTGAAATTATATTGGTGTTTTTGTCCATAGTAATATTCTTTCCTTTGCGATTTTTATGAAATACTTTACTCTTAAGAGATTTAAATTTCTTGGAGATGCGTTTGTTCAACATATTTGGCGGCTTTCGTTGATTAGGCCAGAATTGATCACCTTCTAATGGTTCCAAGTCAATTGGGAGAGAATTTTCATCTGAGATAAATTCAGGAATAAATCTTTTATTGAAAATCGTATAATTAGGATCAAAAGTAGTTGTTTGCATATTTGGTTATGAAATTGTGTTTTTAAAACTTTTATTTTTTAAGAATACAGAAAGTAAAATGAACGAGAAAAGATAATGTTATAAATCTTTAAGACGGATCAGCATTTATAAATTTGGGCACGAGTTAGCTAAAATTGATTGCGCGAATTCAGGGGTGGGAATATAATAGATAACTTTTTACTTATTTCGTCAATAAACTTGCTGGATTTCTGCGGGTCACCAACTATGAAGAAGGTGTTAGGACATCGTGAATGTACTTGAAACGATAGATACGAAGCGGTTAATATCGGTAATAAATTTTTATGGAAAATTTCAATGTACAGTATTATATAAACTTGTATATGAAATGAATTTTAAAATAAAATCAGCTTTAATTTTGCATGAATATTTGAGTAGAATCATTCTCACAGTGACTCTTTGTCATTTAAACATTTAAATTCGATTGAATATAAGCCCCCCAAAAAAAAATTTACCCTAATTTATTAAAACTACGCCTTTTGAGGTGTTCTCTCAAGGAGATCATATTTTAAAGCGGTTTGGTCTACTAAAAATTTATTTTGAATATATTTATCTATTAATAGAAATATTAAATAAATTCGTTAAACATTAAAAGAAGATTAACCCGAATCGGATTTCAACAAAATATTTGTCGAAGGAGATATATTGTCAGAATTTACATATCAAAACATAAAAGAATTAAAAGAGCGGCAAAAAACCAAGTCTGCCGTTATTTTAATGCCATAATGTATTTAAAGAAAAAAGTGATTGCGATATTACTAGATAAGCTACCAAAACTAATCTACCTTAGAAATTAGGTGATGACAAATTTTTTGAATATATGACGTCCTTAATGAAATTATTGATATTATCTTCACTTCAAATTTCATTTATTATATTACATGATTACAATCATACGATTAATGATCACTGCGTTATTCATATTCTAAATTTATAATGCAAATTTAAATAAAATGGCACATCAAAAAAATAGACTATTTAAAAAATTATACGAGGATGTTATTACTGTAATTTTTTTTTTTTTTTTAATGAAAATTGTTTTACTTGATTTTTTTAATTCCGTGTATTGAAAAGTCGTAGTGCGCAAACATCTTTTATATTAAAATAAAATTTCTATAGATAAGAAAGATTACGTATTTAATCAAAAATCGAACATTAACATTGAATTATTAAAGTACTCTATGTAAAATCTTTATATTAATAAATCTATAAATATCTAAAAACTAAGTTAAATTGTTAAAGAATGTCTTGAAACACCAAAGGAAGGCATTGCGCTACGTTTGTTAACATTCAATTCATTTCTTTCGTTTAATACGTGAGCCAACCCACGTTTATTAATACAGTGTGGAAGATCATCGTGGTGATGTTCAGATCCCCAAAGGTTATCTTC